GTTAGTTCGCTTCTTATTGGACAGACCTCACGTTAGCTATGTAGCCGGTAGCCTGTTACAATCACTTTTCATTGTAAATGAGCCATAATTAGCTAACTTTTCCCATCCTGCTAGCTAACTATTATCCGTTGCTCCACACCTACTCACCGCCAGGAGGTACGCCGGGCTGCGGAGCCTCCCAGCCGGCTGCAGCTCCGGGACCTCCGTGCTCTCCCAGCGGATCGTCACGCTGAGGTGTCCGCTCTCCGTGGTGCAGGTTGCGGCTGCCGGGGATATCCGGCGGCGTAGTGACCCAGTGGTGGTGCTGCAGCTCCGCGGGGCCTCCGGCGCTTCTGACCGGGTAGCTCGCTCCGTACAGCGGGTCATCGAAGCTGTCCGGCCGCCTGAAGGCCATCAGAGGGCCGGTCGGTGCTGGGGACGAACTGCGGGAGGACCGTGAATAAGACCCGGATGTCGGAGCTCATCAAACTGAACACATCCACGTGCCGGTAAAATAACCGGAGATATGGTTTAAATGATTTAAAGGAGGAATATTCGTCCCCGATTGATTTGACCCGCAGCTAAACAACATCCACCCGTCACATGGAAGTTCTTCTTCTTCTTTACTTCCGGCAGACTGGCGGAGTTACGGCTCATTACTGCCTCATACTGGTCAGTAGAAGAACAGCGCTTACCGGAAGTCCATAATATCATATAAATAATGTAAGACGTACTCAGATATTTTACTTAATTAAAAGTGTTATAATCCAAAATATAAAAATGCTCTGTTACAAGAGAACAGTTCTGCATTCAAAAAGTAATTTTTATTTTAAATTAACAAGTTTTAGCCTCACATATTCTTAAAGTAACAAAAGTAAAAGTACACATAATGCTGAAGGCGATTTCAGTATAATAAATGTTATATAATTTAATTATTGACACTGTGTCTATTGTGTTCTTAATTAGTAAACTGAGATAAATTAAATACAGTCCTTTTAAATAAGTAATATGTTGAGTTTAAGAGAATATAAAGATAGAATCAGAAGATTCTTTGATTATTTGGTCCGAATGGTTTTAATGTTACATTTCATTCATTTTCTGCTGTAAAATGTAGTTTCGTGAGGTGATGAAGAGATTTATAATAAAATACTAATAAAAAACAAATAGCACAGCTTTAAATACATCATGAACAAAATGTTAAAACTGAGGTTGTTTTATTACCAACTGTATTATTATTTATTTATTTGTTATTATGTATATTTCTTCTGTCTAAGGTTTATTTGCTCCGTACAGACGAGACGAATACGAGTTGCTTCATAAAATTTATTATTTTTTCAATATTTCCAGCATTTCTGACTATTCAAACATCTTTCAGACAATTTAATATTGTGATGAACAGTTTCCTTCACAGACGGTTTTAATCATAAAGTCTGGACTTCATTTTCAACAACATGAACAGATTCACACGAGAGACTCGAACGGTCTGAGGACGTCTAACAACACGACACACTGATCAAAGGTATGGGAATGTCTAAAATGCTGCTTAGAATTAAAAGTCCAGTAACTGCACTCTGTCCCTGCAACCTGATTGGTCCAGTAAGTAAACTTCGCCCACCTGTCAGTGTGAATCGATAAAATAAAATAAAAACAGAATCACAATAAATCACATCCGTGGAGGTCAGAAAGAAGAAGGTGATCAAAGTCAGGAACCAGTCGTCGTCTTTTAGTTTTGGTCTTTCCTCTCTAATGTTTGTTCCTGGTGACCTTTGACCTCCACTGACGACACATTTCTTCTCAGACCCGAAAAACAACAACAAAAGTAAAGAAGGAGAGTTTTCAAGTTGTACTAAAGTGAAACCAGCAGAGCCTCCAAGTTAACAGACATGTTGATCAGCACCTAAATATGGAACGCTGGCTTCAGGTCGGGACGTTTGTGAGCCGCGTTAAGGCAACAGGTGTCGAGAAAAGACGTAAAGAAAACACTAAATGGGTTTTTAAAAGGTTTGATTCAAGAAGCAGCTTCAAGTTTCATACTTAAAATCAAAGAATATTTTTTGAAAACACAGTTCTGATTGGCCGGCTCGCCGACCAATAGGAATTCTCCCAAAAAAGGCGGGTACTTTTTCAATGAAAATGTAATTCTTAAAATATAAATTAATCAATTTGGCTCACTGCTTAGTGGAGAAGATGTTTTTTTATCGAACTGCAACAAAAATAAAAGTTGATTTTAATAATTTCATTGAAAAAAAAAAAAAAAGAATCTAAATGAAAACTTTTATAAAACATTTATTCACTAATAAATTATATTCTAAATAAATGTTTAAATTCTGTTTTATGATTGATGCTCCTCTAACGAGCGGCTAACAATGCTAACTAACAACACAAGTGTATTATGTAAGCTACGTATGCTAACGTATGCTAACGTTTTGGCTAAGCGCAGCTGGCACTAGTTCGAAAAAAAAAAAACCTGACAGAAACAAAGCGCTTGTCGGATTTATTAATCGCCAACTACAGACATTAGTGTGCAGGTTATTGTCTCGTTTTCTGTGCTAACGTTCTGGCGTTTGTAGTTCCAAAGGTTGGCTAGCGTGCTAACATAGAGCGAAAGTGTTCGTTAGCGTCTCAGCGATTGTGATAAGCAAAAATCAAACGTCCCGATCGGATCGCCAACTAGTGCGCTAGCTAAGCTAGCTAATGGCAGTGCTCGGTGATGTCAACGACCACCGCCTTCCGCCAGCTGAACAGGAAGTAGCCCATGCCGGCACCGGCTGCCACGGCGATGCAGAGGTAGGCGTTGTAGGTCATGAAGACGAGCATCAGGAAGTAGCTGACGACCACCTGAACCACGTGCAACAGGGTCTGCAGGAAGTGGGCGGGGCTTATCATCCGCTGCCTGAAAGGACGAGACTAGGGGTTAGCACCACTGTTAGCATTAGGTTTTTAGATAATGTTGCTATTAACATGATGCTAGCAGTTTTAGCATTAGCAATTACCATTCATCATAAAAAAACTCCATTACCGATGTATAGCTTTGGCACCATTAGTAATTGCTATTAGTCTGTTAGCATTAGCATGGATTCACTTTAGTTCACGTTAACATTAGCATTATAGCTAACAACAGAAATACAGCACCATTTTATGTTTAGCTGAAAATAGCTAACTTAGCATTAGTAGCAGTGTTAGCTTTTTTTGTAGGTGTTAGCATTGCTCCAACACTTGATGTAGCTCCACACCAGAGTTAGCTTCAGCGTAACATTATGTATTATGTTCGTAGCGTAGCATCATTGCTAATCCACCATGTTAAAACTCAGCAGAGTTAGTGTTAGCATTACTGTCCACATTATCTCTCTATATACGTTTAATATATTCAGACAGATTTGTGTGACAATTAATGTTAGCATCATTATTAGCTTGAGGGTTAGCATGTTAGCTGCCCGAACACAGATCAGTTCACCAGGCCGCAACACAATTTCAGAAAAACTGAAATGCACCACTGAAGTTCCTGTGAAGTATTGAGATGCTCCAATCAGAACCTGCCGATACTCATTAATTATGCATCATCAATCATCTGTTTTGGTCTCGTCAGAGCACCTAAAACAGCAGGTAAAGGACCTGGACCAGGACAGAGACCAGAACCAGAACCTGAACTCTATAGTTACCTGACAGAGAGTCGTGAGAGGCGGGACTTTAGTCCAACAGGAAGCTCCGCCTCCTCCGAACACTGAATGTCAACCACTGAGCTGACAGTGAACACATGACATTTTACATCACTTGACTGTGATTTAAGTTACCGTTACATGTCGCTAACACGTCGCTAACGTGTCACCACTTCCTGTTGTGGAATGTATCGTTGTTAGCATTAGCGTTAGCTACCTACCCGACCGTCTTGTGTGTCTCCATCAGCACCGTCCCATCAGACCCCGGCAGTGGCATCGAGTTGTAGCGGACGTTGACCTGACTGCGACGCAGCAGCGTCTCACGGCCCATCTTCAACCCCTCGTACAGCACGGCCAATAGGAAGATGCCGATACACGCCCCGGCCATCTCTGATTGGACGAGAGGAGAAGAGGGGAGGGGTTAGTGTCGACAGAGAAAAGGGGGAGAAATAATCTGAAAATGTGAATAAAAACTTTGACAATATAAATATGAGAAAAAGTAAACAAGTACAGAAATTTAAATATGTAAACAAACATAATATAAATGCTATAAAATTACCTCCAGGTGAGTTGATGAGCAGGCCGGTGAACAGCAGCTCCACGTTGTTGTAGCCAAAGTAAAAAGTCATCACCTGGTCAACGACAACCGAGATGTTAGCTTCACGGCTATATGTGGCTATCGCATTAGCATGCTAGCATCGCCTGTAGGATGCTATTATCATATCAGCATGATGTAGCAGTAATGAACGCCTCACCATCCCCCCGTGTCCTCCACTGCTCCCATCACTCCGTCCTCCTCCGTGGTCGTGTCCGCCAGTGGTGGGCGGGGCCAAGGTGTTATGATGGTGGTCCATGTTGCTGTGATCCATGTTGCTGTGGTCCATGGCGCTGTGGTTCATGTGGTTCATGTGGTTCATGTGGTCCATGTGGTCCATGGCTGCAAGACACAAGCTCATCTTCATAAATATCTTGCTGCCATGGAGTCGCTCTGTGTCTGTTTTTCTATGACTTCTAAGTGAATTCATGGAGTTATCTCTGACGTGCGTCCACAATAAATATCCAGAAATCAGCTCAGAAATCATAGAAAAAAGACGCTGCAGAAGCCGCCTGAGGAAAGTCTTGTTTTTAAGTTTTCTGCAGCATCACAGGGATCCAGTGATGGTCGTCTGAACATCTGGGAGTTAATACAGACGGGCGCTGATCACCCATCATTTGGATAAGAATAAAAACTCAAGAGATCCACTTTAAAATAAAAAGGAGAGGATTTAAAGAGTCATTGCGTCTGTCATTATTGATAAAACCTGCAGAAACCAGCTGGACTCTACAGGAGCTCATTGATGAACCTTTTCTTACCTTAAAGCGACGCCGACTGCACCAGAGAGGGACTCACTGAACACTGTGATCACGACCGAGCAGACGTCATGCTGTAATCCGATTGGCTCTCTGAGGCCCCGAGGCTACAGGAGGCAGAGCGAGCCAATCGGAGCGCTCCGAGTGTTGCGGTCTGACATCGGCCAATTAGATCAGAGCGACATTAACGGGAAGGTCAGCCATCGCCGTCGGCAACACTTAACTTCCTGTTTGTCTGTTTGGACGAGTCGGCTTCACTTCGAGTTAAAAGATAAATTTAACTCTCCGTTTACTTTGTATTCAGCTTTACTAATGTTCATTAAATACAACATGTGAATGTAAACACGCTGTCAACAACAACAACAGTCGGGAGGGAAAAAAGAAAGTGATTCATTGACTAAAACTAAAAGAATTAAAACAGGTTTTTTCATTAATCAACTTTTAATCAACTACAACTTGACCAATAAAACCAAACACTTCACTAAATATGATAAAACTAACGAGACATTTAAAAACAACAGCTGACTAAATCAACACTCGGTTCATCGCTGGACCTTTGGGAGGCCGGGAGCCTCATGTTGGGAAACGTGATAAACCAGATAACAACACTGATACCACTGTTCAGTCCTCAGTCAAAGTCTGCAGACATGTGGACGTATTGAAACAGATCCTAAAGGACTCAAAACGTCTTTAACACTCAGTGAAGATGAACTAATGATGTAACGGACCGTTTACCGTTAACCATCAGTGTAAATAAAGTTTACCGTTAACCATCAGTGGAAATAAAGTTTACCGTTAACCATCAGTGGAAATAAAGTTTACCGTTAACTATCACAGTGGAAATAAAGTTGTACTGACTCAGTAGAACATGTTTCTAGTCTCTGATCATGTTTCATTGTAAACAACCAATCAGAGGAGAGCTAGTAACGTTAGCAGCACCGCTAACGGTTAACCAACAGGAGGAGAGCTAGTAACGTTAGCAGCACCGCTAACGGC